ATATATATATATATATATCATTAATGAAAAAATTATCAAATATGATTCAATTAAACTCTCTCTCTCTCTCTCTCTCTCTCTCTCTATATATATATATATATATATATATATATTACTCAAGAAATTTTCTAATTTTGTTTTATAGTTTATAATTAAAATGTTTGGGAGCGATCTTGAAAAAAAATATTTCTTCCCTCAAATTTAACCTATAACAAACATGTATTTAATCAACTTAACTAATTTTCTTACCAGTTTTATTTTCGATTTTATAAAATAATTAAACATGGCTAATGGATTCCTATATTATAAATTCTTAATTAGGATATGATGATAACCCTCCTTTGTTTTTGGTACAATTATGATAACCTTCCTAGTCAATACTATCACTGTATCACACACATAATCCTGTCGACCACTTACATTGCACGTTACTTACAAAAAGGAAATTAATTAGAAGTCCAGTCACGTCTCTAATATCACGATGGAAGCGGTAGTATATAAAAAGTTAAGATGAAATTAAGAGCAAGTGCATGTTCGACATTTCCTTTTTAGAGAAGTAATAACATAATACTCCTTTGATTAATAATAAAAACATTATAAATTATATTTTTTTTGTAAAATCTCACATCTTGTATAACAGAATTCCTCTCAATTTTTCATTTTTAATAAAGTTTTTTATTTTATAAGGTATATTAATTTTTTTAATAAATTTCAATTAATAATAAAGGATATTTATAATTGTTACTAACCTTATAAAAAAATATTTATTCTTGAAAAGTTTAAAGAGAAATTGATTGTAAAACAAAAATTTAAGACTTTAAAGTAATTGTATTGATTTTTTTTTATTGCAAAAGATGAATAGGTATAAATTAAGGTAAACGTGTCTAATTAAAAAATGAAAACTAAAGTAGTTACTAAATCATATTTTTCTTATAATAGCTATAGATAAAGTTAATATAAAACTAATTAGTCAAATAGTAAAATTTGAAGATAAATGAACGTATGGCTTCTAATAGAACTATTTCGTTAAATTTCATGAACACGGTCAATTTTCTGTTTTCAATGCAAAAAGCAAATTGAGTAATAAGTCCTTCGGTGGTGTTTAATTTATTTATCATTTTTTCCCTCAATAATTACAAACACATCACTTTATTTGTTATTGTTTCTTATGTTCAAGATTTCGTGGAGGAAACAATCATTTTCTTCACAAAATCTTGAAAATAAAAAATATATCAAAGTAATGTTTTTTATAATGAGTTTTATGCCTATTCACAGTATAAAAAAGTTTAGGGTCAACTAATAAAAAATAACTATAAATGTCTTTTTACGATAATTGTTATAAAAATAAACAAATTAATCATTCATGATGATTTATTTGTATTCGAATGATAGTATAAAATTCCTTTATAATAACTACTTATAACCTATTTTCTCTTTTATAATTACTAATAAAATGTTCTCAATAAAAAGAAAAAAGATGGGGAAAAAAAAAACAAAAACTCAGCTCCCTATTTCTCAAGTCTTGAAGCAAAAATTTCCACTCACCCCTCTACCCCTGATATCATATTATCATTTGATACCCAAAAAAATCAACACCTGCATTTGTTACCATCAACAGTCTCAAAGGAACATGATGGTCAGTACTCAAAAATCTGCTCTCTAAATTGAGATTTAAATTAAAAAAAAAATACAGCACAGGATATACCATGTTATTGCCGCTTCCTCCTATCAAAAATATACAAGACCAATTGTGTCAAATCTATTTGTTTCTTGTCCAAATAAGACGGCGGCAGCAGCAGCAGCAACAGACAAACTCCAAAAGAAAGAATTATGTTGATGATAACCGTCCACTTAAACAGTGAAACTCCTCTCTCCTTAAAGACACATCTACAGTAAAAGCAGAAAGCAGTAACTACAAACAAAGGGATATATGAAGTTACAAAAAATAATCTGGAGTCTTTCGTGTTGTGTCGGGCTCAATTTGTCTGGGAGCTGGATCAAACTGCAGAAAATTCTGATCCATATTCTCTCCGATTTCCAGTATGGCAGCCATATTCCCACATCGGTAACAGTAATTAGGTGCACTAAAAACAGTCACCACATTCTTGTCCTTAAAGATTCATCAAAATAACAGTCAATACATAAAATGTAATGGGTGCCCTTAAAAGGAAAGAAACCAATACTTATACGGAGTCAAAATATTAGATCAGATGCTCACCTGGCACCAATTGTACCCTTCCATGACAAGCTGGTGAGCTCTAGATATCAGCGAGAGCCCATTGGTATGATTGAACTGAGCAGCTATATCCTGTCCAAATGTATATCCAGCACCACGTGGAGATATTCCCCAACCACAGCGATCATCTGGATCAGACCACAAGAGGTCACACATCGGTCCTTCGTGTGGAACCTACATTGCACAGTTACAGTTGTCACTTTTCAGGCAAGAAATCCAATTAATTTTGCCAATTTAGTTTTAGACAAGACATAAACAGAAATGAAATTCCATAATGGAACAAAATGAGACATCCTAAAAGCCTAAAGCACCTAGCAAGGCTGAAATAAACACTTAACTATTAATTCAACCATATAGAAAGAGAAAGTAGACACTAGACACCATTATAACCCTAGACAAAAATGAAACATTTCCAAAGAAAACACAAGTATTACAAACTACACAATAAAAATTTTCAACATCAAACAATTTCTTCAAACCATATTTTAAAAAGGTTTTTAACTCAGAAAGAGCATGCTTTGCATAAAAATGTTATTCATACCAAATAATTTATAATCACAAGAGCTTGCAATAATCATTTGAAAACACACAAACCTCCTGTATGCGATCCAAGGCCCGGATATTATCCAGTGTATCCAAAGATGGTGAGAGACCTCCATGCAAACAGAAAATCTGGAATATACACGAATGTTAGACACCAACATAAGGTAGTCAGAGAAACATTCTGCAACATATTTTAACTCAAACCTGACTCTCAATGAGGGCAGTCAGAGGTAGATAATCAAACAAATCGGTAAAGAATTTCCAGACATTGGCATTTCCATACTTTCTCAAGCACTCATCGTAGAAGCCATACCTGAAAGCAGGTGAAGGATATAGACATCGAGGTGAGCAAGTATATAAACTATTCTTAGAATAAAATTCCTTGTATTTCTTGTGTTCAAATAGATTTTTTCTGTTTATCATGTCCCTTCACAAACCACTCAAGAATTGACATTCATAAGTATAAAACCATGTAATTCATGTCTACTCATTCATTTAGAAGCGCATTGCAAGCTAGCTGTAAAGTTTCATTTAAATAAACCTTGGCATCCATGTATCAGGTCCATTTCAATTTGAGTATAATTTCATCATCCAGGCACCATGAACTTCACAACTACTTCCATAGTTCCATATGTAGTGCAAAAATGACTATAACTAGCCTCAGCAGTCAAAAATGATAGACTGTAGATGTTCATTAGCAACAAAATACATCTATTTGCAAACAAAGTCGTGTATATTTTATAATGCCCTAATACCAAGAAAAAAACACTCCAAGAAAAGAAGAAAGCCATAACATTAACACAAAATCAAGCTGCTGCACCTAACTCCTAAGTTAACCACTTGTGAATGTTGAGATATATGGAGCCCATGGGAAAGTTATGATAAAGCCAATGAATGTAGGAATCAGGACTTCATTCCCTTAATCTATTGTCAAACTTTAAGCAGGATATATAATCAAATGTCTGCTTTCACACAACATATATCCTTACATACACAAATTATAGTGAGTTTTTTTTTAAGAAAAACATACTGAAAAAAAATATTCTTACACTTGAGTGATTTGACGACTCTCATGATTTCCCCTAAGGATTGTAATTCTATCTCTATAACGGACTTTCAAGGCCACCAAAAGTGAAACAGTCTCTACCGAATAGTAGCCACGATCTGCATAAATTTTGCCAGTATCATGAGGAAATGATAGCAGTGTATGCAAATAGTCTAATCAGAACATTATTAAAAGCAACATGATGAAAAAACGAAAAATGATTATGGCCATAGTTTGCAGCTTATTATATCTGAAATTGCAACATACTCAAATATTAAAGTTGTTTAGTCTCACATCCTTCCCTCAAAGACACATTTAAGAACACCTTTAATGCAAACATATCAAT